CTTTGTCTTTCTGTTGTCTTGTGGTCAAACCAAGAGTGTTACAACCTCTCCCTCTTTCCAGTTAATGTCACCTCTCCCAGCACTTACTGACACCTACCCATGAGCCCGCTCCCTTTCCATTTATGGTAACCAGCATCCTTACCCACTGAGCTCCGACTGACAATGGACGTCTATGGGCGTTGGAAAAGTAATTGAAATTTGGTCAGTCCACCTTGGCCGGACTGGAACCAAATCTGAACATATCATTAGACGTACGTTTCACAAGTTTGGAAATGTGGATATCACAGTACTGTACAATAGTGAGTAGAGCACAGCAGAGTACAGTGCAATAAAGAAAAGTAGAGTATAGTACAGTACAATATATTGTACTGAACTCTACTGTACTGCAGTGTACTTTGCTGTGCTGTGTTGTACTGCAGTGTACTCTGCTGTGCTGCGATGTGATGTCCATACTTATGAAACATGAGGAGAATGACATTCATATCCATAATTATGCATTTCTGTGTAGTGCAGATCAGGGGACCCATGATGTAATTCCATTACTGTATTCCCTTACCACTTACTGTAGTTCAAAAACCAAAATAGCTTTTTTAATCTCAAGTTTGCCATGTCATAGCTGACACCCCATTCTTTCTGCAGACATTTTTGTATCTTAATTCGGAGCAGATATTTAAAGAGTTTTTGGAAAACGTGTTTTCATAAAAACTTGAGGGAGATTTTACCGTAATTCCGTTACCAAAGTTTGCATCTGCACAGTTCTTCCACTAAATTTTTGTTTTTGTAAAATGTTCAGTGGAAATTGTTAAAAGTAGTCCTTGTGCATCGAGTTCTATGGCTTGTTAAACTTTGAAATCAATGTTTTTTGTTAGGTATACATTTTAAAAGGGAGAAAACTGAGTCAAAGCGTAATATCTTTACCGTGGAATTGCCCGTATCTTACCGACACTTTCTCTATTTCACAAGTGTGCAGTAACACTGTAAATGCCAATACATTAATCATAGGCCTAATGGCAGTATACTGCATTACACAAGCATTTCGCTACACCCGCAATAACATTTGCTAAAAATGTGTATGTGACCAATACAATTTGATTTGCTTGCACACCGCAAATGGATATTCCAGTTAGGCTACTCCAGTTCCCATCATTACAGATTAAAAATGGTGACTCACATCCATAGTTAGATGCTGGACCGACAGGCAGGGCCCATCGTTGTCTAAAAGGCCTCATTCGTTTTTTCATTAAGAAATGAAAGGTAATTAAATTGCAACATGGACCCAAACAGGCAGCCATAGAGTTGAGACAAGAGGCTCCCACACTCAATGGAGGCCAATGGGGGCATATTATGAGTCCCAATCATAGCTGGATTATAGGACATAGCTCAACACATGTTTTGAGGAGAGAGAGAGAGAGAGAGAGAGAGAGAGAGAGAGAGAGAGAGAGAGAGAGAGAGAGAGAGAGAGAGAGAGAGAGAGAGAGATAGAGAGAGAGAGAGAGATATTGCTTGTGTTATACTCGCTCGCTCTTCGATATCTTCTCGCTCTCTCTCTCGCTTCGCTCTCATGCTAGACGCTCCTTAGGATCGCGGACTGAGCGACGTCCTATCATTGTTTTATTTTGATTTTCAACAGCAAACGCACTAAAAAGAAAATAGATCACACCCTACTTACAATTTTGTTGTAGATGTTTTCAATTATATGTTTTATTCTAGATTCTGGAAGCATGCAATTTGCCAATGTGAGAATGTTATATAGCCTAAATTGACAAACATTTTAATTTGAATATTTTATAGCTTTTATCATCAATTAATCATGCAGGGTTTCATACAGTTTGTAGACTAGCCTACATGTCATAGTTGATGGGAGGTATGGGCGCAACTTTCACTGGGGACGGGGGGACATGTCCCTCCCACATTCCGAAATAGCATTTTTGTGACCCCCCCTGTTAAAGTTGCGGCCCTACCTCCTCCCATGAACTATGACATGTAGCCCCCCCCCCCCCCCCCCCCCCATGCATAATCAGAGGACGGCATGTATAATCTCAAGGTTACCCCTTTGGCCAGTAAACATATTTAACAAGGAGGCTCGTTTGTACAGTATGGTCAAGATAAGGCTCTCTTCAATCTGTAGCACAGAGTGGTTGACATTTAAAAGGCAATGTTTGCGGTGTAACATTTGTTACGTAGCCCTTAAGGCTGTTTCATGAAAATAATTCTGATCAACTATATTAAAATATCAATACTAATATATTGATAGAATAGTAAATAACATTCTAGAATGGAATAGAATACGAATAGAATATAAAAATTGCTTTTCTAGTCACCAGAACAATTATGATAAGCTCTCTCAACACTCTTATCCTAACGATCATGCAATCAACTCAATGGCCAGATTGACTAAAGCTTTGGCACAACTACATACAGCTGAATTTACAACATCATCTTTTGAAAAGGTGAATGCAACCACAGGATGTAGTTTGGCCAAGGAAAAAGGAGAGTGATTACATACTCCTCATTAGAATAGTGGAATAGTATACCGGAGTTTACGTTGAGCTTCTGAAAATCAGCAATCAATACATGGAATCAAATGTACAGTACATACATTAAAGCAGCATTCGTTAATTCATGATCTGACATCAGTGGTTTGCATATGCAAATTCTTCTAACAAATTATGGAGTAACGCTTACAACTATGCAGAGACAGTCTTGATTGAAGATGCAGGTAATGTGTTTCCATAACGACAAACCGCTACTACACAGACACTGCGCGCACACACACAGAGGATATAGATCCAGCCACTAAAAGCACCATGTCTGAACATTACCCTGAAGCTAATACCATAGAGTTTGTATTCTCAGGCAAAACACACAGACAAGTAGAAAAGTGTAACAAAAGTACTGGTCTGGAAGTGGTTGCATCGTGATATTACAGGACCGGAACATGCTAGTTATAATAATCTTTAGGTAATATAAGCGGTTTTACGAAAGTTCAAATCAGTAAGGTTGGTCTGAATGGATTGTCATTTTTCATTAATCTAGTAAACTCATAATTCACATCGCTTCCAATCTCACTGATCAGCATAGCCGGTATTTATATGGTAGTGTTTATAATGTTATCGCATCAGCATTGCAGGTATCAGTGGTGTGTATTCATAGATGCCAAGGGAAGCCAGGCTTCCCCACAAAAATTACAAAGAAAAAAAAAAAACATACCAAATAATTGTTCATATATTTCCTTCAATTCGCAAGAGGCTGAATGTATCTCACCAGAGAACGCATCCGAGCGAACTAAACAGTGTCTATATATGTGTAAGCCATCTGATGCTGTCTGGTCAAAACGAGTATGACATTGTTGCTGCCCTTTGCATTGAATGCATGGGAAGCCAGCGAGCATTTGTCCTCCCTTGAAAAATAAAAAATAAAACTATAAAATAATAGCCAATCATCATTGAGCTAAACTGAGTGAGCTCAACTGTGAATGGTCCTGGTGCACCAAAACAAAGTGTCAAGGGAAGCCAGTTTGGATTTGGCTTCACGCCAATCACATTAGAAGCCAAACGTCATTGACAGAAAACTTGAATTGTTGCGTCTCGTTGTGTCGATGCCCTCCGGTGGCTAACTGGCTAGATAAAATTACCCCTTTCCTAAATTAGCCATGGATGGAGGTAGGGATTTGGACTTCATTCTCCGTACTGGCCAATGATCATAACGGCGATTCTAATCCAACCATAAATTCATATATTGTGCCCCTGGCCTTGCTAATGATGTAGTGGGCTAATGTTAACTAGCTGGCTTGGCGCATCGTTGCCCATGAAAGGAAGTTAGGCTAGGGAGCAAACATTTTAGCCAGGTAGCATAGGACAACTAAAACTAAAAGTGTGTACTGTATGACAGAGTGATAGACCGTTTAGGCAACATGAAAGAGGAGGATGGCCTTAGCGTTTCTCTACAAGTAAGGTGAATCAACATGTTTTTTTCTACTTGCACACACAGAGAAATCAGTACCATGGTAGCCACATCGTATTTAGCTTACGTTGATTGGACTAAATTGTATTTTGGTATCTTTTAGTTGTCACTGTATTATACTAAGCATAGGGGATTAGACGATGTTGAAATGTTGACGTTGAAACGGTGCTGGAATAGTGGAGGCAGCTCCTGTTTTCTTTGCGACTTGCGGTTAACTCTCTGTGGTTCTAAATCAATAGTTGTTTAGTAGTCCGAACATTTTAGAAACATTAACTTGCTTGACCGTGCTGTAGGTCATGTAACTGTTTGTTACATGCAATACGTTTTGTGGACTTCACCGGATAGAGGTTGCTCTCCGGTTTTGTGATGAAACAAAGGTGTGGTTGAGTTTATTCTGCCACTGTGTCTTATTGTCTCGGTCTTTAGGCCTATATATCACGGTGTCAAGGCATATGAACTAACAGGTTACAGAGCAAACAACGCAATTATCACAACAGATAGGTTGTAATATGGCATTTCTTTCCTGGCTTGGCTTCCCCAATGATTTTACCCATACACTGCTACTAGCAGGTATCGATGCCAGCTGCCCAGCATAGGACAACCTGTCATAAGCATCTGGCTCTGAGGAGCATTCCTCGAAGACGAGGCCTACCCCCAAAATATTCAACAAAATTCCATATTGTATTCTGTCTCTGTTGTCAATCAGTTAAGCCTGTACTCGATTGAAATACTATTGTAAAACTAGTAGTTAGGATTTAGGCTGGGATTCAACCCAACGCAAATGAACGACCTGTCCTTTACACAGCGATAGATAGACTCTTAAAAGGCCATTTCGTAGAGATCACATTCACGGTCAACGAACGCTGCGGATCTGGCTCAACCTGAGACAAATCTATCAAAGAACAAGTTATGTGAATGTGTTTGTTTACCCTCCTTTAACCTCTAAACTCCTGGGGAGGGAAAAAGGCTCTAACTAAATAACTAAATAACTAAATAACTAAATAACTGATAAACAAAACCGTTATTCATACTGAGCCGAACTAAGCCGAGTCAAGGCAAGCTGTACTGGGCTGGCCTGGTGACACATCCACCAAAAAGGGTATGGTTAAGTGACTGGCTGGCTGGCTGACTGACTGGTTACATAATGGAGCAGCAGCAGGTGGCAGGGTAATTAGGAACTTTGACCTGGTGTTCGTTCCCATAGATATAGTAAACATGGGTGCCTCCCTTCCACTTGTAGGTCACCTTGGTGATGGGGATCAACTCGATGGTTTGTTGCTGAAACAGAAGAGCAAGACCATTGATCCTATTGGTTGATAGTCAGGTGATCATCAATAAGCAGCACGAGGCTCAAAGGGGCGGCTTCCTGGTTTCCTGCACACAAATGTAACCTAATCCGGGATTAAAACGCATTTTAAATGGAGATTCTCCATCGAGTTTGCTTTTAATGTCCAGGACTAGGCTTTATCAGTGTCCGGAAAACCGCCCCCAAAAGGGTTTAAGTCAAGAAATATAGGGCTAACAGATGTTGTCATATCCCGTGTACAAATATCATAACTTCCGCTTGTTTAATCTTTCTGTACCCGTTAATGTAACACAGTGGTTCTCAAACCACTCCTCAGTTGTAGTCATGAACTAGCTCACTTGATTCACCTAGTCAAGAGCTCGATAATTAGTTTACAAGTTGAATTAGGTGTGCTAGCTTTGGAATAGTTCAAAATCCATGGAAAGGCTGCGGGTCCCAGAGGAGAGGGTTTGAAAAACCACTGCCGTAACGAATATTGTACCTGTTGAAGGATGCGTGAGTTCTGGGAGTATTTAGCCTGGTGTTCTCTAACCAAACGGTCTGAAGCCTGGGATACGGTTGGATCTGGAAAGCCATGCACTGGATACAGCTGATGAACAGAGGATTGTGATGGTGCCACACACACACACACACACACACACACACACACACACACACACACACACACACACACACACACACACACACACACACACACACACACACACACACACACACACACACACACACACACACACACACACACACACACACACACACACACACACACACACACACACACACACACACACACACACACACACACACACACACACACACACACACACAGCATTACAGTAATATGTCAGAAACCATAAAATGATTTTTTAACCAATAGAAAAAAAAAGACAAAAATGTCACACTCACATGTCACATCATGTGTTGCATAGTTTTACAAGGGGAACCTAACAAAGGGCAAACGTTTTGCACCGTAGCAAAATGTTTTGGAAATAAAAACCGTTTACTCTAAACACTCTGTCACGAGTGTAAAAGCTGTCGAGTTCTGTTTAGTTCTTAAAACAGAAGTTGTAGTTAAGCAGGGGAGCAAAGAGAATGGTTAAATTGTTTCCAGGAGGGACTAACCTTGTAAAGCAGGGACTGAACTTGTCCAATAAGAAATGTTTTGTTTTTGTTGCAAAACATTTTACATTGCAAAGCGTTTTTTTTTTTTTTGCTACAGTGTTCACTAATGAATACACCTCAGTCTGGATCGACTGCAGAACATGTTGCGTTCCTTCCTTACCATGTACTGGGCGTTTTTGAAGAGCGTCTTTCCCGTCACGTCGCTCAGATTGTCAACCTCCAGCCCACTGTTCTGCTCCACAACATAGTCTTCAACATTGTCCTTCCTGAAATAACAACAAGCCTCAACATTATCCTTTCTTGAATAACAACATAGTCCTCCCTGAAATAATAAAGCAGTGGTACACCATTTGTTTACCACATTTTATGATCATTTCAGCCTTTCCAAACCATCATCTCGTAATAAGAATATATAATTTACAAAAACATGTGTACCTCATAACAACTCACCATTCGACTTAAATTAAAAAACAAAAACCGATCAATTGTGAATCCAAATTAGGAACTGTTCATATCGCGTTGCAGTACAATCAACTTTGTATATTCAATGATTTCTGTTCAGTGTCTCTAAATGTAATCTCTTAGTATATAACTATACTAAAAATATCTTAATTTAAGTTTAAAATATTTACAACAATTATCTTAAGTTTACAATTTTATAAAAAATCTTAATAAGTTTAAATGTTTACTATAAACCTCTTAATAAGTACAAAAATGTAAAAACAAAATTATTTAAAAAAATATAATCTTCATAAGTTTAACATTTTACTAAAAATATCTTACTAAGTTTACAATTTTAGTAACAACATATTTCAAAGTTGACAATTTCATAAAAACATTTCTTTAAAAAAAGATGTACTTTTATTATAAATCTCTTAATGAGTTTATAATTTTTATAAAAAATTCCCAACGACTCACCATTCGACTTTAAGGTTGATGTAGGTCAACAGCTGCTTCTTTCCCTTGCAGGTCTCACATTCTTTATTCCCTTTACCATTACACTTAGAGCAGCTAGAGACACAAACAACATCAAGTCAATAAGATACGTCTGTATAGAAGTCTGTCCTGTACACCTTCAAGAGGCAGATTGTCTTTGAGTATTTTGTCATTGTATTATTATGTTGAAATGAATGACTGACTTACTTCTCACGTCCTCTTTGATTGCAGTGGGTGCAGGGACTCTCTGCTCCCCGACTGCCAGATCCATTGCAGACCCAACACACTTTCTAAATGAAGAACCAATGAATAATTGTAACGAGGTGTGTGTGTGTGTGTGTGTGTGTGTGTGTGCGCGCGTGTACGTGCTTACCGTTCCAGACCCATTGCACTCAAGGCAGGGCATCTTCCCAGAGGCACTGCAAGTGTGGCAGGGCTGCACAAACAGAGACAGTGTCATCAAACCTTCTCTTGTAGATTACTTGTTGATCTAGTCCTAAAATAGAGTATGACTAATCTGTCCTTTCCTGGCCAATTTTTATTTTATTTTACCTTTATTTAGGTAGGCAAGTCAGTTAAGAACAAATTCTTATTTACAATGACGGCCTACACCGGCCAAACCCGGACGACGCTGGGCTAATTGTGCGCCGCCCCTATGGGACTCCCAATCACGGCCGGTTGTGATACAGCCTGGAATCGAACCAGGGGGTCTTTAGGTGACGCCTCAAAGCACTGAGATGCAGCGCCTTAGACCGCTGCGCCACTCGGGAGCCCAATGATAGTCACACATGGAATACAATGACCCACAGTATCATCTGTCAACAGTGACAATAGAAAACAACCCTTTGTGATTCAAACAGACAGACAAACACCTGCTTAGATGAAGTGTAAGGGACTTTTATGTTCTCCTCATGGTTTTGGAACAGGGAGGGAGCCGTCACTGGGATTTCCCACGGCCGGGGGGCGGTCTGCGTGTAGAAGTCTGCTGGTTCACCTGTCAGGTACAGGAAACACAAGTTATGGTCAGAGCCATAAGGACTGATGAGATCCTGAATGGATCCATAAGGACTGATGAGATCCTGAATGGATCCATAAGGACTGATGAGTCCTTATGGATCCAGAAGTCTGTACTGTACCAAGTTAGCTAGCTGAATAAACTAAGTTAGAGTCTATTCCTAGAAAACATTGAACCGCTGTAGTTTACAACAATTATAATTTCTAAAGTGGAAGTTGGGAGAGTTATATTTGAGTGTTTCAGTGAAAGGTAAGTGAGGGAGGCCCCGCTCTCTCGCTTCCCCAGATGTTTAGTTACATTTATTCCGATCTCTTTTGCATTACTGTAGCCTTTTCTGTAGCCAGTCAACTATGTGTCTGTCTATCCCTGTTCTCTCCTCTCTGCACAGGCCATACAAACGCTTCACACCACGTGGCTGCTGCCACTCTAATCTGGTGGTCCCTGCGCGCACGACCCACGTGGAGCCCCTGACCCATCTGTCTATCTCCTCATTTGAATTCCATGCTGTCACAGTCACTAGCCCATTCAAGCTTAACATCCTTATCATTTATCGCCCTTCAGGTTCCCTTGGAGAGTTCATCAATGAGCTTGACCCCTTGATAAGTTCCTTTCCTGAGGATGGCTCACCCCTCACAGTTCTGGGTGACTTTAACCTCTCTACATCTGCCTTTGACTCATTTCTCTCTGCCTCCTTCTTTCCACTCCTTTCCTCTTTTGACCTCACCCTCTCACCGTCCCCCACAACTCACAAGGCAGGCAATACGCTTGACCTCATCTTTACTAGATGCTGTTCTTCTACTAATCTCACTGCAACTCCCCTCCAAGTCTCCAACCACTACTTTGTATCCATTTCTCTCTCGCTCTCCTCCAACACTACTCACTCTGCCCTTACTCAGATGGTAATGTGCCGTCGCAACCTTCACTCTCTCTCTCCCCCGCTACTCTCTCCTCTTCCATCCTATCATCTCTTCCCTCTGCTAAATCCTTCTCCCTCCGGGCTCCGGGCAGCCGAGCGGAAATTGAGGAAAACTAGACTCCCTGCGGACCTGTCATCTTTTCACTCCCTCCTCTCTACATTCTCTTCCTCCGTTTCTGCTGCTAAAGCCACTTTCTACCACTCTAAATTTCAAGCCTCTGCCTCTAACCCTAGGAAGCTCTTTGCCACCTTCTCCTCCCTCTCCCTCCTGCCTCTCTGTGGATTACTTCATCAACCATTTTGAAAAGAAGGTTGACGACATCCGATCCTCATTTATTAAGTCAAATGACACTGCTGGTCCTGCTCACACTGCCCTACCCTATGCTTTGACTTCTTTCTCCCCTCTCTCTCCAGATGAAATCTTGCGACTTGTGACGGCCGACCGCCCAACAACCTGCCCGCTTGACCCTATCCCCTCCTCTCTTCTCCAGACCATTTCCGGAGACCTTCTCCCTTACCTCACCCCGCTCATCAACTCATCCTTGACCGCTGGCTATGTCCCTTCCGTCTTCAAGAGAGCGAGAGTTGCACCTCTCCTCAAAAAAACAACACTCGATCCCTCCGATGTCAACAACTACAGACCAGTATCCCTTCTTTCTTTTCTCTCCAAAACTCTTGAGCGTGCCGTCTCTAGCCAACTCTCCTGCTATCTCTCTCAGAATGACCTTCTTGATCCAAACCAGTCAGGTTTCAAGACTGGTCATTCAACTGAGACTGCTCTTCTCTGTGTCACGGAGGCTCTCCGCACTGCTAAAGCTAACTCTCTCTCCTTTCCTCTTATCCTTCTAGACCTATCTGCTGCCTTTGATACTGTGAATCATCAGATCCTCCTCTCCACCCTCTCCGAGTTGGGCATCTCCGACGCTGCTCACTCTTGGATTGCGTCCTACCTGACAGGTCGATCCTACCAGGTGGTATGGCGAGAATCTGTCTCCGCACCACGTGCTCTCACCACTGGTGTCCCCCAGGGCTCAGTTCTAGGCCCTCTCCTATTCTCTCTATACACCAAGTCACTTGGCTCTGTCATATCCTCACATGGTCTCTGCTATCATTGCTACGCAGACGACACACAATACATTTTCTCCTTTCCCCCTTCTGATAACCCGGTGGCGAATCGCATCTCTGCATGTCTGGCAGACATATCAGTGTGGATGTCGGATCACCACCTCAAGCTGAAACTCGGCAAGACGGAGCTGCTCTTCCTCCCGGGGAAGGACTGCCCGCTCCATGATCTCGCCATCACGGTTGACAACTCCATTGTGTCCTCCTCCCAGAGTGCAAAGAACCTTGGCGTGACCCTGGACAACACCCTGTCGTTCTCCGCTAACATCAAAGCGGTGACCCGATCCTGCAGATTCATGCTCTACAACATTTGCAGAGTATGACCCTACCTTACACAGAAAGCGGCACAAGTCCTAATCCAGGCACTTGTCATCTCCCGTCTGGATTACTGCAACTCGCTGTTGGCTGGGCTCCCTGCCTGTGCCGTTAAACCCCTACAACTCATCCAGAATGCCGCAGCCCGTCTGGTGTTCAACCTTCCCAAGTTCTCTCACGTCACCCCGCTCCGCCGCACACTCCACTGGCTTCCAGTTGAAGCTCGCATCTGCTACAAGAGCATGGTGCTTGCCTACGGAGCTGTGAGGGGAACGGCACCTCCGTACCTTCAGGCTCTGATCAGTCCCTACACACAAACGAGGGCATTGCGTTCATCCACCTCTGGCCTGCTGGCTCCCCTTCCTCTGCGGAAGCACAGTTCCCGCTCAGCCCAGTCAAAACTGTTCGCTGCTCTGGCACCCCAATGGTGGAACAAGCTCCCTCACGATGCCAGGACAGCGGAGTCACTCACCACCTTCCGGAGACACTTGAAACCCCACCTCTTTAAGGAATACCTGGGATAGGATAAAGTAATCCTTCTACCCCCCCTTACCCCACCCCAAAGAAAAAAGAAAAAAAAAAACATATTGTAAAGTGGTTATCCCACTGGCTAGAAGGTGAATGCACCAATTTGTAAGTCGCTCTGGATAAGAGTGTCTGCTAAATTACGTAAATGTAAATGTGAATGTGAAATAATATAAGGACTGATGGTAATGACTATAAGCAGACCTGGGTTCAAATAATATCGTTTTTCTTTCAAATAGTTTTCCCTGCACTTGACTGAGCTTGCCTGGCACGACGGTATCAATAGCATAGTCCCAGAAGTGCCAACCCCGCCCATCTGACACTCCAGGCAACTCAATCAAAACGCTCTCAAAGTATCTGAAAGAACCAAGGTCTGGGGATGAACGAAGAACTGGTAGGGAGCATTATGGGTAGTGTAGTTTACCTGCATAAGGCTTGGTGGTCCAATCTGTAGATCTGGACTCCGTGAATGTCTCCAGGCGGTACTGTGGACAGTGAAAACACAATAAGCACAACCAGGCAGCATTTTATTTTCCCTATTATTGTGTTGTTGTTGTTGTTGTTGTTGAGCTATGAGAGCATACCAGTAGCTCCACCGGACATATTGTCCTCTTTAAGCAAGAAAAATAAACACAAAATTACAATTTAATGTGTTTCTAAATGTATTATGTACTTAATTCTAACAAACAAATTAAATCATTATAATAAACACATGTACTGTACTGTCCATCATTCATGTTTTGAGAAAAAAAAGAGAGAAGATGGGATTCGTCTGTTACCCGATAGGTGTTAAACGCCTGCATGTTAGTGATCACTCCATCCTTGGCAGGGGCATTGCTATAGCAGCAGTAACCAGACGCGTACATTATAAAACGCTCCCGCGCCACATCTTCAGTGAGGGAGGGGATGCTAGACAATGTGAGAGAAAATAACCCACATCAAGACGACACCTCAGAACAGGGTTCGCTGGTAATGCATTGTTGAGACCCTTTGCTCTAGCCTGAGTGCCTGTTTCTGCTCTCTTGACAACTCCTTATAGAATTGCTATGCACAACAGTTTGACAATGGAGTAAGCAAAAGCACAAACATATCTGGGACCAGGCTACTGTTGAGCCATTTGCTCCACTAGCAGCAAAAACTAAGAATCAGTCAAGTAGACTAAGTCAAGACAAGACCTCATGTTGTAGGGCCCTGAGGTACTGGTCAAGTTAGTCAAGACAATACCTCATGTTGTAGGGCCCTGAGGTACTGGTCAAGTTAGTCAAGACAAGACCTCATGTTGTAAGGCCCTCAGGTACTGGTCAAGTTAGTCAAGACAAGTCAAGACCTCATGTTGTAGGGCCCTGAGGTACTGGTCAAGTTAGTCAAGACCTCATGTTGTAGGGCCCTGAGGTACTGGTCAAGTTAGTCAAGACAAGACCTCATGTTGTAGGGCCCTCAGGTACTGGTCAATAATTATATCCGCCTGGATAGAATTCCGCCCCCCCCGCCCAGCTCTATTGAAAATCAATCCACTGCCACTTCAGTGTCTAGAAAGCCCTTAATGGTGCCCTGTCCTCTATAGATTCAATCAATGAACAAGGACATGATCATCTAGACTAGTAGGCCATGACGACAAAGCAAAACACTCAACATTGTCTAAGAGAATGATCTTGGGTCATTTTAGCATTTTCCCCACTAATGTTCAAGGTTAGGATTAGAGGGCGGAAGCTGATTCTAGATCTGTACCTTTGGGAAACTTCACTGCCAGGCCTGAGAGAATTTTGTTCCAAAATTATGTTAGCCTTGTTAAACCAGAATGATCTCACAAACGAAGCGAGAGCATAGCATTCTGTCTGGTTTCACAAGGATAGTCCTACAGTGAGGGTAAAAAGTATTTGATCCCCTGCTGATTTTGTACGTTTGCCCACTGACAAAGAAATGATCAGTCTATAATTTTTATGGTAGGTTTATTTGAACAGTGAGAGACAGAACAACAACAACAAAATATCCAGAAAAACGCATGTCAAAAATATAAATTGATTTGCATTTTAATGAGGGAAATAAGTATTTGACCCCCTCTCAATCAGAATGATTTCTAGCTCCCAGGTGTCTTTTATACAGGTAACGAGCTGAGATTAGGAGCAAACTCTTAAAGGGAGTGCTCCTAATCTCAGCTTGTTACCTGTATAAAAGACACCTGTCCACAGAAGCAATCAATCAATCAGATTCCAAACTCTCCACCATGGCCAAGACCAAAGAGCTCTCCAAGGATGTCAGGGACAAGATTGTAGACCTACACAAGGCTGGAATGGGCTACAAGACCATCGCCAAGCAGCTTGGTGAGAAGGTGACAACAGTTGGTGCAATTATTCGCAAATGGAAGAAACAAAAAAGAACTGTCTTCTCCCTCTGCCTGGGGCTCCATGCAAGATCTCACCTCGTGGAGTTGCAATGATCATGAGAACGGTGAGGAATCAGCCCAGAACTACACGGGAGGATCTTGTCAATGATCTCAAGGCAGCTGGGACCATAGTCACCAAGAAAACAATTGGTAACACACTACGCCGTGAAGGACTGAAATCCTGCAGCGCCCGCAAGGTCCCCCTGCTCAAGAAAGCACATATACAGGGCCGTCTGAAGTTTGCCAATGAACATCTGAATGATTCAGAGGAGAACTGGGTGAAAGTGTTGTGGTCAGATGAGACCAAAATCGAGCTCTTTGGCATCAACTCAACTCGCTGTGTTTGGAGGAGGAGGAATGCTGCCTATGACCCCAAGACACCATCCCCACCGTCAAACATGGAGGTGGAAACATTATGCTTTGGGGGTGTTTTTCTGCTATGGGGACAGGACAACTTCACCGCATCAAAGGGACGATGGACGGGGCCATGTACCGTCAAATCTTGGGTGAGAACCTCCTTCCCTCAGCCAGGGCATTGAAAATGGGTCGTGGATGGGTATTCCAGCATGACAATGACCCAAAACACACGGCCAAGGAAACAAAGGAGTGGCTCAAGAAGAAGCACATTAAGGTCCTGGAGTGGTCTAGCCAGTCTCCAGACCTTAATCCCATAGAAAATCTGTGAAGGGAGCTGAAGGTTTGAGTTGCCAAACGTCAGCCTCGAAACCTTAATGACTTGGAGAAGATCTGCAAAGAGGAGTGGAACAAAATCCCTCCTGAGATGTGTGCAAACCTGGTGGCCAACTACAAGAAACGTCTGACCTCCTTGATTGCCAACAAGGGTTTTGCCACCAAGTAATAAGTCATGTTTTGCAGAGGGGGTCAAATACTTATTTCCCTCATTAAAATGCAAATCAATTTCTAACATTTTTGACGTGTGTTTTTCTGGATTTTTTTGTTGTTATTCTGTCTCTCACTGTTCAAATAAACCTACCATTAAAATTATAGACTGATCATGTCTTTGTCAGTGGGCAAACATAGAAAATCAGCAGGGGATCAAATACTTTTTTCCCCTCACTGTATATGGCATGCTCCGGGGTCAAGTTTCCCCTAGGTACAGATCCGGGATCAGCTTCCCCTCCCCACAATCCTAACCTTTACCACTAGTAGGGAAATCACAAAGCACCTAGGGCCAATATCACTCTACACCGTGGTGCAAGAAATCCCAGGGTTAGATTCCCGCAAGAATCACACATGTACGAACTCACTGTACCCTACTGTAAGTCGCTTTGGATAAAAGCTTCTGCCAAATAGCATACAATACATTACCTCCACATTCAACAATGAATATAGCAATCCATTACTCTGTGTGTGTGGGTGTGGGTGGACGGGTGCGTGCGTGCGTGATTGCGTGCGTGCGTGCGTGCGTGATTGCGTGCTCGCGTGTGTGGAACATCAATCTAAACTTAATATCCATGTCGTAATGTAATGTTATGTTATTGATGGGTCCATACTTCCAGTCTTGTGGTACGGGTGCAGGCTCTGGATCCCGGGTCGGGTGTAAGGGCATCGGTGGGGGGAGATATCCACCTATAGAGACACAAAGGCATTAGGTTGTTCATACATACTTAATCAATGAATATGAAACTGGAGCATACTGATACTTCTTGATCTGTGATTAATCATATTGTTTTCCCCCTGGTATGAATGATCTCAGGGATCCTACTTGATGACTTCATAAGGTATGATTTTTTTTTACATTTTGCTCATCTCTAAACTTTCAATAGACATAACATCATAATACGAGACTGAAAACGTGCCGGACATCACAAGAAAATTCATAATTACACCCCAAATGTTTTCAAGAATCTTAGACATTATAAATAGCCAAGATGATGATGATATTGAGTATCTTTAGAGGGTTCTGATGACGACGACTCCTACCTCCTCCGCCAGCCAAAGTGCCCTCGTACCCTGGTACGTTGCCAAACATGGTAGCTGGGGGAGCCATGGAGCCTGGGGCGGGCACTGCAGGGGCATATAGGGCTGAAAGATAGAAAACCAGCCTTAGTTTGGGTTTTTGTCCTGTGTTTTGGCAACCATTCATTCATTCACAACAGTTCATACATTTATCAGGAGTGAGGAGTCAACAGTACTTAATTGAAAGAAGGCTTTAGTTTTAGTTAAGTAGGCAGCGTAAAAGACACACATACTGTAACAAAGCACATCAACTGTAATCCAGTCCCACCAGTCCAATGCATTATCAGAAGTTGTCTTCATTAACTGTATGTAGAGTGATAAGTAGGGCTGTCCCCGACCCCAAAAAAATCTTGGTCGACCGAAACTAGTCTGTTCTTTGATTGGTTGAAATTTTTAAATGTGTATTTTTCCATATATAAACACCCACTATGTGTTTTAATAAAATAAACGATATGCATTGAGCTTGTCTGATGCTTTAAGCTTACGGTTTGATGAAATAAGACAAAAGCCTCAAGAGGGCGCCAGAGATCTAGATAACCAGAAGAAGAAAACCTGACCCAACTATTCTCCTCCTGCTCCTGCTGGCTTTCGCAGATTCTGCCATTACTCTCTTGAAGTTGCCGGTAATAGGCTACACGAGGAGTCGGCAACCTTTCTCATGTGGAATGCCAATTTATCTTACCATTTCTACCGATCTGCGTGCCAGTTATGATTTTCATATCCAAATTTCCGTTAAACTGTTTAATTTAATTTATAATAACGTCTTCATATCAAAACATTGTCATGTGATTAATAAAAATGCTATCTAAATGAAAATTATACAAACCTAAAAAGTAACTTTATTGCCAACTATGTAAAAATAGCCTACATAAAGCCAACAAATACAAAAATTGTATAAAATATTCTGAGCCCTGAGAGTTTTCAGCGCCAGTGAGCTCGGGACAGACACAGCTGTAGGCTATTTGCGCAAGGGATAATAAGCAGTGCTTGACTTGGGCAGGAGCTCACCGGAGCTGAGTACCAGCACCTAAAATGTTCTACCGCTTGAGCTCCTGTTCCGCTTATAGAATCTTAGCTCAAAAGTATTGTGGAGCTCCTGACTTAAATAATAAAACAGTACCAGCACCCAAAATGAGTACCGGAACCTATTTCAGTCCAGGTCAAGCACTGATAAGAAGTAATCAGGTAGGCCTATTTTATGACGTTTCCACTAGATCAGAGCATGACATGTTTCCCTGTCACGCTGAGTGGTTATTGAAAGGGAGAGAGCTAAAAAGATTTTTCAAATACATTGAGGAACTATTATAATTCACAATGGATGTAAGAACACACTTCGTTTGCTTGCTGTTTGGAGGTGAAGAAATCATTACTATGAGTAGTAATTCGCGGTGGTGCGTTAAGCCAATCAGAAATACTATCAGATCCCCAAATGGGCACATTTATATGCCTACATTTGGGCGTAGGCCAGGTAGCCTATAGGCCTGCTTCTATGCGTGTGTGTCCTTACTCAATATTGACTGGAGCGCTCCAAACAAAAGACAATGAATAAATTGACAAAACTCGTAAATGGAATGAAATAAGCCAAAACTTGTTTCTCACAAGTGTAGCAGGTTGTGCACTCTGCAATTAATGTGTCCACTCCGACAATTAGAATGGGAAGACTGGAATAATATTATTGAATGTATTAAAATAAATGACCATAGCCTAACTAAAGTAACAAACATTGTAGATTAGAAATTATAGGAATTAACAGTAAATGTACTACTGGTGATATACAGTATCAAAAGTTTGGACACACCTACTCATTCAAGGGTTTTTCTTTATTTTTACTATTTTCTACATTGTAGAATAATAGTGAAGACATCAAAACTATGAAATAACACATTTGGAATCATGTAGTAACCAAAAAAAAGTGTTAAACAAATCAAAATATATTTTATATTTGAGATTCTTCAAATAGCCACCCTTTGCCTTGATGACAGCTTCACCAAAGTTTTGTCAAAATTGGGCCAGTGGTGTCTGATATACCTCCCGAGTGGCGCAGTGGTCTAAGGCACTGCATCACAGTGCTAGCTGTGCCACTAGAGATCCTGGTTTGAATCCAGGCTCTGTCGTAGCCGGCCGCGACCGGGAGACCCATGGGGCGGCGCACAATTGGCCCAGGGTAGGGGAGGGAATGGCCGGCAGGGATGTAGCTCAGTTGGTAGAGCATGGCGTTTGCAACGCCAGGGTTGTGGGTTCGATTCCCATGGGGGGCCAGTATGAAGAAAAAAAATGTATGCACTCACTCTGGATAAGAGCGTCTGCTAAATGACTAAAATGTAAATATCGCGTGTGGCTAACATACGAACGTACAGTAACCCTTATTTCTGGTTGTAGGTATTTAACACTACCTAAATTGGAGGACTTGTGGGTTCGGCAGTAAAAATAACCACAGGTTGCAACTAGGGGTGTAACGATCCATCTACTACATCGATGTATCGATTTATATTCATATGATCCAACTACATCGATCTGTGCTCGGCGAGTTGGCCTTTTGGACAACATATCGATCTAACATCGTTTTAAAATGTAATAAATCGATTGTATCGATACTAGGAAATAACCCATTGGATTTAAGCACGTCAGACTTTATATGCAGGGGTGCACATAACTGGTACGCAGATACGCAAGCGCGACAAAAATCAGGAATGTGTAATGCTACTCGTGTTACTACGTGCCTTTGAGTATTTGACCGATCTTCTCATCTAACCTTACACATGTCATGTTTCTTGTCACCTACTGTCAGGGATGTCCAAAAAGCAACAGACATTACAGCTTCTTTGGCGTTTCGCCACCTACAAAGAAACGCCAACTGGAGCCAGAGCCGAAGAAAATACTTTTTTCGGAAAAGTGGCTCCAAGATGTGCAGTGGCTTGAAGCTAACGATGAGCGCACTGAAATGTGGTGCAAGATTTGCCGCTCAAATCCACATCTAGCAGACAAAACAGGTGCATTTTATAAAGGCTCAAAGAATTTCAACCATCCTTTATTTGACAAACATGAAAAGAGCAAGGAGCACACGAATGTGGCGCAAGCCATTGCTAAAAGCTAGCCGAGAATAAATGTCCAGTCGCCCACTTGCCAGACAAGCTGAATGAAGAACAGCGGCAAGCTCTGTTTAATATTTTTCTCTTTCCATAAAGCTAAACACGTACGTCCCATGTCTTCCTATTCTGAGGATGTTCCTTTACTGAATGCTTTTTGATGGATCTGAGGACATCACAAAAACTGAGCAGGAAATAGTTTACATTGTGTCTGTGTCCAGCAACGGAGAGTTTACTTCGGACTTTATTGGACTGATTGAATTGGGTGCTGACCGAACCGCACAGGCCATAACAGACGGACTTGTGAGACTTTTCCAGGACACAGGCTTGGATGACTGGACAAAGTTGGTCGCTGTGTGCACAGACGGGGCTGCTGTCAACGTAGGTATGGGTAAGTTTCATAATACCAGATGGTCTGCATGGAGGCATGAAACACTGTTAAAAATATCAAGACTATTGCCAGCCATTAAAATGCAACTGGTTACCAGGTATTTATTTCAGTCACACTGGTTGAATTTTTGGCTAAAAGGTTACTGAATCGATTTCAAGTCACTGAATCGTTTCGGATCGTATCGTTCTAAATGAACCAATATCGTCCTTGAATCGTATCGACAACCACGAATCGTGATACAAATCGAATCGTTGTTAAAACGAATCGTTACACCCCTAGTTGCAACCAGTGACGTGTATAAACCCTGGATGACTGACAGGGGGCGCTGTGTTGAAGCCACCGCTCAGCCATCTTGGTACTGCAACAATTGTAAAAAATATTTAGGAAGCTATAGAAATGCATTTATTGATGTCTAGTTTCGTTTTTGACACGTTTATTCTATTACAGACACAATTAATGCATACTTTTAAAATTATATTATGTGACCTGAACACAAATAAAAAATGAAATATATATATTTTTAAATCCTTAAAGTATCATTTTCAGAAAGTACTAATTACTAACTAATGTTACTGTCCCCACTACAACAACATACATTTAAAAAAATTAATAAATACATGTAATTTTGTCCTTGAAACCTTTCAATTGAACTACTGTAGAATTCCACTCATTCCTTTGGAGGACTGCTCCTACTGGGTCCTACATCTGTATGATATGCTATAGATATATGCTACAGATACTGTATACAGTGCCTTCAGAAATTATTCATACCCCTTGACTTATTCCACATTTTGTTGCGTTACAGCCTGAATTCAAAATGGATTAAATCAAAGTTTTTTTTCTCACCCATCTACACACAATACCCTATAATGACAAAGTGAAAACATGTTTTTAGACATTTTTGCAAATTTATTGAAAATGAAATACAGAAATCTCATTTACATAAGTATTCACACCCCTAAGCAACTCGAGTGTAGATTAGGCCTTGTGTTTTAGGTTATTGTCATGCTGAAAGGTGAATTCAAATCAAATTTTATTTGCCACATGCACCGAATAAAAATAGGTGTAGACCTTACAGTGAAATGCTTACTTACAAGCCCTTAACCAACAATGCAGTTAAGAAAAAAAGTGTTAAGTAAAAAATTAAAAACAACAAATAATTTAAGAGTAGCAGTAAAATAAAATAACAGTAGAGAGGCTATATACAGGGGGTACCGGTACTGAGTCAATGTGCTCTTTTACCCGGTTAGTCAAGGTAATATGTACATGTGGGTAGAGTTAAAGTGACTATTCATAGATAATAAACAGAGTAGCAGCAGCGTAAAAGAGGGGGTTGGGTGGGGTGGACAATGCAAATGGCTTATGGCTTGGGGGTAGAAGCTGTTAAGAAGCCTTTTGGACCTAGGCTTGGCACTCCGGTACTGCTTGCCGTGCGGTAGCAGAGAGAACAGTCTATGACTAGGGTGGCTGGAGTCTTTGAAAATGTTTAGGGCCTTCCTTAGACACCGCCTGGTATAGAGGTCCTGGATGGCAGGAAGCTTGGCCCCAGTGATGTACTGGGCCGCATGCACTACCCTCTGTAGTGCCTTGCGGTCGGAGGCCGAACAGTTGCCATACCAGGCGGTGATGCAACCAGTCAGGATGTTCTCGATGGTGCAGCTGTAGAACTTTTTAAGGTTCTGAGGACCCATGCCAAATCTTTTCAGTCTCCTGAGGGGGAATAGGCAATGTCGTGCCCTCTTCACGACTGTCTTGGTGTGTTTGGACCATGATAGTTTGTTGGTGATGTGGACACCAAGGAACTTGAAGCTCTCAACCTGTTCCACTATAGCCCCGTCGATGAGAATGGGGGCGTGCTCAGTCCTCTTTTTTTTCCCTGTAGTCCACAATCATCTCCTTTGTCTTGATCACATTGAGGAAGAGGTTCTTATCCTGGCACCACATGGCCAGGTCTCTGACCTCCTCCACATAGGCTGTCTCATCGTTGTCGGTGATCAGGCCTACCACTGTTGTGCCGTTGGCAAACTTAATGATGGTGTTGGAGTCATGCCTGGCCATGCAGTCATGGGTGAACAGGGAGTAGAGGAGGGGACTGAGCACGCACCCCTGAGGGGCCCCCGTGTTGAGGATCAGCATGGCAGATGTGTTGTTACCTATCCTTACCATCTAGGGGTGGCCCGTCAGGAAGTCCAGGATCCAGTTGCAGAGGGAGGCGTTTAGTCCCAGGGTCCTTAGCTTAGTGATGAGCTTTGAGGGCACGATGGTGTTGAACGCTGAGCTGTAGTTAATGAATAGCATTCTCTTGTAGGTATTCCACTTGTCCAGGTGGGAAAGGGCAGTGTGGAGTGCAATAGAGATTGCATCATCTGTGGATCTGTTGGGGCGATATGGAAATTGGAGTGGATCTAAGGTTTCTGGGATAATGATGTTGATGTGAGCCATGACCAGCCTTTCAAAGCACTTCATGGCTACAGACGTGAGTGCTACAGGTTGGTCGTCATTTAGGCAGGTTATCTTAGTGTTCTTGGGCACAGGGACTATGGTGGTCTGCTTGAAACATGTTGATATTACAGACGCAGTCAGGGACATGTTGAAAATGTCAGTGAAGACACGTGCCAGTTAGTCAGAGCATGCTCGGAGTACACGTCCTGGTAATGTTGACCTGCTTAAAAGACTTACTCACATCGGCTACGGAGAGCGTGATCACATAGTCATCCGGAACAGCTGATGCTCACATGCATGCTTCAGTGTTGCTTGCTTCGAAGCGAGCATAGAAGTGATTTAGCTCGTCTGGTAGGCTCATGTCACTGGGCAGCTCACGGCTGTGCTTCCCTTTGTAGTCTGTAATAGTTTGCAAGCCCTGCCACATCCGACGAGCGTCAGAGCACGATTCAATCTTAGTCCTGTATTGACTCTGCCTGTTTGATGGTTCGTCGGAGGGCATAGCAGGATTTCTTATAAGCGTCCGGGTTAGAGTCCCGCTCCTTGAAAGCGGCAGCTCTACCCTTTAGCTCAGTGCGGATGTTGCTTGTAATCCATGGCTTCTGGTTGGGGTATGTACGTACGGCCACTGTGGGGACGACGTCATCGATGCACTTATTGATGAAGCCAGTGACTGATGTGGTGTACTCCTCAATGCCATCGGAAGAATCCCGGAACATATGTGCTAGTAACGCAGTCCTGTAGCTTAGGTATCTGCGTCATCTGACCACTTCCTTATTAACCGAGTCACTGGTGCGTCCTTCTTTAGTGTTTGCTTATAAGCAGGAATCAGGAGGATAGAATTGTGATCAGATTTGCCAAATGGAGGGCGAGGGAGAGCTTTGTACGCGTCTCTGTGTGTGGATTAAAGGTGGTCTAGAGTTTTTTTTCCCTCTGGTTGCGCGTTCAACATGCTGGTAGAAATTAGGAAGAACGGATGTAAGTTTCCCTGCATTAAAGTCCCCGGCCACTAGGAGCGCTGCATCTGGATGAGCATTTTCCTGTTTGCTTATGACCTTATACAGCTCATTGAGTGCAATCTTAGTGCCAGCATCGGTTTATGGTGGTAAATAGACAACTACGAAAAATATAGAAGAAAACTCTTGGCAAATAGTGTGGTCTACAGCTTATCATGAGATACTCTACCTCAGGCTAGCAAAACTTAGAGACTTCCTTAGTATTACATTTCGTGCACCAGCTGTCGTTTACAAATATACACAGACCGCCACCTGGTTAAATAAAGGTTAAATAAAAAGAATGATGAAATCCCTGAGCAGTTTCCTTCCTCTCCGGCAACTGAGTTAGGAAGGACGCCTGTATCTTTGTAGTGACTGGTGTATTGATACACCATCCAAAGTGTAATAAATAACTTCAATATGCTCAAAGGGATATTCAATGTCTGCTTTTCTTATTTTTACCCATCTACCAATAGGTGTCCTTTGTGAGGCATTAGAAAACCTCCCTGGTCTTTGTGGTTGAATCAATGTTTGAAATTCACTGCTAGACTGAGGGACCTTACAGATAATTGTATGTGTAGGATACAGAGATGAGGTAGTCATTCAAATATAATGTTAAACACTATTATTGCACACAGAGTCCATGCAACTTATTATGTGACTTGTTAAGCAAATGTTTACTCTTGAACTTATTCAGGCTTGCCATAACAAAGGGGTTGAATACTTATTGACTCAAGATGTTTCAGCTTTTCATTTGTAAAAATTAAAAAAAAAAACATAATTCCACTTTGGCATTATGGGGTATTGTGTGTATGCCAGTTACAGAAAATAATCTATATTTAATCAACTTTAAATTCAGGCTGTAACACAACAAAAATGTGGGAAAAGTAAAGTGGTGTGAATACTTTCAGAAGGCGCTGTATGGTTTAGGTATGCATAGATCTAAAAACAACTTGCGGGATCGTGAGCCGTAGGGCTGCAGCTGTTCTTTTCCCCCAGAATCCCTGCTAGTGATATAATACTGTACCGTGGAAAGGGCCTGTGGAAACCTGTTTATGGTGGAAAGGAATACCAGGTGTGTGTTCAGTAGGGAGAAAACACAGCCATTATTTAGTTTCCTCTTATTGTCCCCCACCATGAAATCAGGGAGGGGACTGTGGATCATACGTTAGTCACACGCAATATCTCAGACAGCACTGGCCCGATCTTGACGAAACGTAGGTGAATGATGCGTCTTGCCATAGAAATATGTCATTTACAAAATTACACTGGTTGGCCCAAGGCGAGAGCTACAGTCATTAACTGACATTTGTGAATCACAACCAGAGAAGAAGAGACGCATCATTCACCTGACGAAACGTAGGTGAATGATTCGTCTTGCCATAGAAATATGTCATTTACAAAATTACACTGGTTGGCCGAAGGCGAGAGCTACAGTCATTAACTGACATTTGTGAGTCACACCAGAGAAGAAGAGGTGAAGCAAGGGGGATTACCGGGCCCAAAATCTGTCTTCTCCAGTAGGTGGAGATTTCTTTGACACGTGTACAGGGGTTGATTAGCTAAAGAGACTTGCAGGGCTCGACATTCAGGGCTGTCTGCTGACTGCTAGGTTAGGTTCAGTGGAGGCTGGTGGGAGGAGCTATAGGAGGACGGGCTAATTTTAATGGCTGGAATGGAATCAATGGAAAGGAGTCAAACGTGGTTTCCATGTTTGATATCATTCTATTTAGTCCATTCCAGCCATTACAATGAGCCCATCCTCCTATAGCTCCTCCCACCAGCCTCCACTGGTTAGGTTAGTGAGGGGCAGACATGGAGAAGACACAGAATAATGCACGATCAAGAGGGATAAAGAGCAGTTACTTCATGAGGTATCTCTACCTGAAAATACATGATCTAAGTGATTGATAGTAAAATAGTGATTTTGTCAGACAACATAGGCAGCAGCTCAATAGAGATGAGATGATGACTTGGAATTAAATAAAGTAATCAAATAAAACATTATATATGGCCAATATACCACGGCTAAGGGCTGTTCCTATGCACGACAAAACGCGGAGTACCTGGACACAGCCCTTAGCCGTGGTATATTGGCCATATACTGTATCACAAACCCCCGAGGAGCCTTTTTGCTATTATAACCTGGTTACCAACGTAATTAGAGCAGTGGAAATAAATGTTTTGTCATACGTGTGGTAAAAGGTCTGAGATACCACAGCATTCAGGGATCGAACCACCTAGTTTATAGCAGTAATGGAGTCACTACCACTTGTATTAGTTGTTTTATTCTGTTTGTTACAGCATTCCATATGGAGGCGAAAGAAACGCACACCTGTTTAGGCGAGGTGCTGGCTAACTGAGTAAAACACTTGAAACAGAAAGGGAGGGCCGCACCCTCTAAGAGCTCAGTGGCAATCATTTCATAACCTAATAACCAACGTTTCGACAGACAAGCTGTCTTCATCAGGGTTGCAGCATTCAACCCACATAATGCAGGCCTACTTTTCAAAAAATAGAATCAAAACGAAACTGAAATCGAAAACAATTTTATCTTTTTTTATCATCTAAAACGGAACCGACCTCAAAAAGCACTAACCTCTCAGCACTATGGAGTAGTCTACAACAGCTGACGTATTTCTATAGAAATAGACTGGTTGTCTAGGCACTGTTAAATAAATACATGGTTACTTTTCCTAGCCTTTGAAATATGGCCGTTCCTCTAACTCTGGTCTGCAGTGTGTGCTTTAATAATAGTCAACCCGCACGCGTCCTACTCACCCAAAGCATTTTTCTGTTATAAATACTACATTTTCTATACATTTTAAAAACTTACCTTGGCCCTCGTGAGGATGAAACATCGTTTCTGGCAGACACCCCCACTAATCATAAGAAATGAACGAGATGATAGACTTGTAGCGGCTCACTCAATCACTCCCGCCAGACTGTCGACCCTCCTTATATTACCACCAACTTCTTCTTCTTCGATGAGGTTTAACGGCGGTTGGCATCCAATAAATGTTGCATTACCGCCACCTACTACATTTTTAAAAATGTTTACCTACTAGACTGGAGTATAACTCCCTTCGCTTTAAAAAATAAAAAATAAAACCCTATCATCTAACACTACACTCACAAAAAAAATAAAAAAATAATAATAATATTAACTACCATACTCCACTATTTAAATATATTTATTCCTACTTCAGGCCAACAGCCTGAAAGAATGGGACACCACCACTTAACACACCCTGTAACTCTTCTGATGTCAAGTCTCGCACACCCAATTACCTCTCTGCAGCTGCCACCACAACCTCTATTTTCTGCGACCTACGTTCCATCCCTGCAGTACAGTTGATAACCATTGCTATAAATGCCAAAAATCAAATCTTACTGAAACATACAGTTTATCACTTGTTGGTTTACCCCTCTGTACTGGTACAGATCTACTACTCACACCATTCCTCTCAGGATCCCTCCCCCCCTTGACTCATCTTCCTCTACTTACTTCAATGCTTCAGCATATGACAACTTCTGCACTACTCCAACCCTGGAAACCTCAACCTGCCTCTCTCGCACCGGACATTTCGGATCCCCAGCCCCATCGGCACCCCCACAATTAACACATACCACTACTTTCCCCAATGCTACACGCTCCTTTGTCTCATGCCCTTCTGCACACTTCTCACACCTTGGAACCTCCCTCCTACACACTGCTGCCACATGCCCATAAGTTTGACACCTGTAACAACGTAATGTATTCGGCACAAAAGCTTGTACCGGATAACTTATATATCCTAACATCACTTTGTCGGGCAAAGACTCAACGTCAAAACTCAAAAGAACAGACAATGACTCCTCTGTTTCTCCACTCACGCCACCCTGTCTGCATCGCACCAAACGACGAGCATCACGAACACCGGGAATCTTCCCCTTCAGTTGGTCAGCTTTCACATTTACCGCCACCCCAGTAATCACACCTTTCAATGGCACCCTTTTCATGAGAGCAAAACAATTCACAGTGAAGGCCTTTCCACAACCATGGACTCATCAGGTGCACCATTCAAACCCTCAACCCTTTTAACAGCCGCTGCATATGAAATGCTCTGGACAGCCCTGACTTTGGCCACCTCATTCTCTTTCACCCTTGTGGGGCATTCAAAAGACGTGGCTTCATGGTGCCCACCACAATTGCAACATTTCACATTTTCATTACTTTTATAACACATAATATGATATTTTCCACATCTTGGACATCTCGGCTTCTCCCTTCTGCAAACACTTGAAACATGGCCAAAAGCTTTACAGTGATCACACTGCATTGGTCTTGGGATAAATGCTCTGACTCTCTAGTTAATATACCCCAACTGCACTTGAGTAGGGAGAGACTCCATATCAAAAAACAAAAGAACTGATAGACTTTTTCTTCATTCACCACACGATTCATCCGACGTGCATCAATCACTCCAGGAATATTTTTAATTGTTTCAACATCGACTTCGAACGAGACGCCAGATATAACCCCATTGAGGGGTGCCCTGTTCCTAAGAGACACACACTTCAAACTTATAATATGCCATTTAGCAGACGCTTTTATCCAAAGCAACTTACAGTCATGCGTGCATACGTTTTTACATATGGGTGGTCCCGGGGATCGAACCCACTACCCTGGCGTTACAAGTGCCATGCTCTACCAATTGAGCTACAGAGGACCATCCAATTGGGTTAGACTCAACACACATTTCTTCTGATCCGCAGAAGCACAAAAAATCTAAACATGCCCGCCTCTCGTGATCCTAACAGCCTTCACTCTACCCAGCACTCTCTCCACCAGTTTGGATATCTCAAATGGATTCCTCAAGATTGGTAATTCGATCAGCTGCTCCTCATTTACAAACTGTACACCTACAAGATACGAAGTGACATTCTCATCACTGTACTCTACTTTGCTCAGTTTTTCCTTTCTTTTGGACAATATTCAAATTCTCCTTGATTCTACCAACATTAGATTCAGAATCCACTTCATCATCTGCTTCCGCCATCTTTCCCTGTCTCCCCCGAGCTCTTAAAGCTCCTCCCCACCACACTTAAGTGCCCCATTCCAGTGTGGGGTAGGAGGGTCATGGCATTGGCAACATCCCAAAATTGCTTTTGGACTGAAATCACTGTTGAAATGGAAAGGCTACTCTTGAATAGAATAAACCTACCAAAGAATGTGTTGAAACTGAAAGCAATATTTTCTTTCAAGAAAAATAAAGCTGGCCTAATCAAACGGATCAGCGGGACAGGTTGAGACAAGGCACCATAATGTCAGCCCTGACCTAAGGCACATATTTTAAAAGGTCACACTATTGTATAGATGTTTTTCTTCTTCTTTGAATCACGTCACGTCAACATCGCTGCCCAGTCATTTTCTATGGAAGGAAAGCGGTTAGAAGCAGAGGGCGGTGAATCGTTGGGCCGTGCGAACGTGGCGTGGGAGGCGGTGAAAAACTACCAGCATTTCCCAACTTTATGGAAATCACCAGCGGCGACCGCTGGGCGATGACCAATCATATCGATTGGTTCCCATTACGATTTTGTCGCTATGCGACCTATTGCTGGTGACTTTCTACAGCGAAGATGTAATATTAGCTCAATCTGTACTTCAATGCACATCTGGTGTGCATTATAAAAACAGAGGAAGAAAGAGGAGGTGGGTAGAGAGGTGTAAGAAAGAGTGTAAAAGACAGAAAGGGAAAGAGGTAAGAACAGAGGAGCAGGGAAGGCAGCATATGATTAATGAATTACAGTGCTACCCTAATATTCTCTCAGTTCAACACAATTACATAATAGTGTCTATAGCGGTGTCTCCTAACAGCCTTGTGCCCCCAGTTGGCCTGAAGGTTATCTTAAGAGCGGGTGAGATGGTGATGACGGGACTGGGGGTTGACACCCTCTCTCACATCAAAACATACCTGCAGACGATGATTAAACGTTGTTTTTTTTACTCTAACCCTGTCAGTCATCATAATCATCAGGAGGTGAAATGCAAAACGGACCTTGTATCATTAACTCTGGGACTACTACATCTCTATTTGTATTTCAATGTAATAATACTTCCTGTTGACCCGACCAAGTGACCTCACACCTCTGATCATGCTGTGCCCTCTACGTGTCAGCCAGTTCAGATGCAGGAGGGGTTCAACGACATAGCTGATATAACCTAGAGGATTTAGGGAGGAGGGGGGGGGGGGATGAAGTGAAGGAGAGAGACTGTTATTGAGAAAATAAGGTAGTTAAAGAGACAATGTTCAACAGGAATCTGTGTGTGTGGTCTCACCTGGTGTCCACACTAAGTGGCTGCAGAGGACTTTATACTGAAAAACATGCACAGACACAGGACAAGCAATATAGCGTAGTTATATAAATAATGAAGTGTCTTACTATTCTCCATGGTTGGTCCTCTGGCCTATTCTTTGAAGGTGGAAGGAGCCACAGTTATACACCTGAGCCTGCTTACCGCACAACACAATCCATCAATCAGATTGATACACGTGTGCGTAGTTTGGGTTATAGGGTGTCTAATTGTTCTAAATGTTTTCAATATGGGTGACTCTTAAAATAGCCTGTTTTGTATTTGTACAGACATCACCCTTACCTGAACAGCACCCTCCCCTGAGAAGTAGAAATCACAAGGAGAGAAACTGGGAATTTAATAACTGCAGATGACATAGCTAAGTAAATGGAAGAATACTCTTATTGCAATGTGGATGGCTCTTAAAAGATCATTTGGTTGTGCATAGTGCAGTCTAATGGTGTTGCCAGGGAACAGCACCCTCTTCGAATAAGTAGGAGAAGAAGATCTCCCGCACATGGATTGCCTCCCGTGCTGCGTTGTTGGCCCCCATCCTTGAAACATCCTGCAGAGCAGCAGACCTCTCCTCTGGCACACGGCTGCAGACCCCCTCCTGGTCCTCGTGTCCATCCTCATGAAGTTATGCAGGACACAGGTAGCCTTCACACGCTTGAATTCCCCCAGGAGGCAGTCTCAGATGGCCCTGGTCACCCAACCTTGCAGTGCCTTACACGGTAACTGTAGGCAATCGTTTTGAAGGAATCTCCAGTTACAAGGTATCTGTAGGAATATGGAAGAATGTAATTATTAGACTTTTACATCACCAGGTCATTGTGGATTACTGAAGTATAATATCCCTTATAACAAATCATGATAACATTGGATAGATAAATGCATGTGTAGCATGTGACAACAGCAGGATCATATCAAGGATAGCATCACAAATTAATACATAAATACCACTTGAAGCTTGATAATGATGATCATTTGAATCAGCTGTGTAGTGCTAAGGCAAAAACAAAAATGTGCACCCCTTTGAGTCCCCAGGACCAGGACAGAGAACCACTGCTCTTCATTGGGACCTCTTCATCTGCAGACAGGCTTTCACAGCTCTCTGTATCTGAGGACAGAAAACCTCACAAGAAACAGATTTCATTATACTCAAATTAGACCGCACTGAATATTATGTTACTATTATCTCCGTCCTCACTTCTAGGGACTGGAACTACACAAAAGTACCTGCCCTCTCCAGAACAGCCTACTCTCTCACTTTGACAGATGGGGCTGCTTTCCTTTCACCCTCCTCCATGGCTGTTAGCTAGCTACCTACAAATGCATTTGGAGTTTGTTTTTTACAGTGATAAATACATAAAGATAGCTAGCTAATATGAAGTTGGGTAGCTGGTCAAAATTAATTCACTTAGCTAGCAATCTATACAGTACGTAAAGTTGACTAGATAGCTAGCTAGCTACGTTAACAGCTCATTTGAGTTAGCCTGCACTGTAGCTAGTTAGCTAATAATACATTGTTTAAAAAAAAACATTTTCTAAATGTATTTACTTACTTGAATAGGTTCTCCCAGCCATGTGGACGATTAGAAA